CCCGAAACGTCAGCCTCTCTGCTCCAATGATGCTGTTTGGCCTGCTGTGTTCATCCAGCCCTGCACCTTCTTTGATCAGACTTGTATTTCGAGGTCACATGTCACAAACTCTATCAGCTGTGATTACATGCTCCCCACTTTTATCCGCCCAGTTAAGGATTCATGAATAAATCCATCATCTCTTCCCCAAGTTAATTAGTTCTTGGGCATCCCTTCAGACCCTACCAGATAATCACTGGCACAACTATTTGTTATTTGGACATGTCATCAATGGAAGCTATTGCTGGTGGAGGTGGTGAAGGTGACTGAGGACTCCTAGGAACTGATTGTAACTGATTCGGTTTATTTATGTCCTGTCACCTCATTTGAGCGTTCGATAGGAAGAAAATTGCGATAAATATATCTTTTTCAAAAATATATTTTGTTGAGCCAACTGAAATAAATGGTGTTGAGGTGCAGATGAACTGTGATCTAATTGAATGGTGGATCAAGCTCTTCTGTTCCCGTACTTCTAACGTGGATTCGTTGCTCTATGTCTTACCAACCTTTAATTTTTGATGTAAAATCTAAAGTTGGCCTTAATCCTGCTGCCTCTCAAATGCTGTGGATTACTGTGTATTGGTTGCAAGGCCTTCAAATGTTAACAATTGCCATTATCAGTCAGACTAGACATGACCAATAGAAACAGAAAATGCTGGAGAAACTCAGCAGGTTTGCCGGGAGAAATAGAGTTAACATCTCTAGGCCAATTTGACTCTCCTTAGGAACTGAAGTTATCAGAATTGTTTTTGCTCAATGCAAGCCACATGTTTAGACTACTGCGCCGTCAAGGGAAAAAAATAAGAGATGTGTAAAGCCAAAATAATTAAAGCAGAAATTAGATAAGAGATAATATTTTCCCTCATTGTCTGATGTCCCACACCCGTTGTTGCTAGATTTTTGCTTGCAATAGAGGCCATTATACAACTGAGTCCCAGATAGGACAGGGTTCAACATTGAATGATTCATCTTCGGCCTGGATTATGCTTGATTGCCCAATACATTTTTATACAAAAACCTAGCCAGTAGACACTACAGGTTTCCAGTTTAGGAGCAAAGTTTATTATTACATAATTTAACTCAGTCATTTCTATCTGTGAGTGCCAATTTTAATTACAACTACCAAATGCTCAAAGGTAGGTTGTGAATCATCTTCTGAATGAGGAATAAACAACTCAGCAAAAGTCACCCACTGTTTTGCAAATATTGTCCATGTGGAGGTTATTAAAGATATGTCATAATGGAGAAGTTCTTTCTTTCCTGAAGGGGTTTTTAACTGATAATTTGTTACATGTTAATACTTCCATTTACTTTGCTGGTTATGTGGACAGATTGCATGCAGTAAATACCGAAGAGGTGTTATGTTATTGTTTGTGTTTAATTGCCTTCAATTCTCTATTTTCTGTCTGTGATTTGTGCTGGTTCAGTGTGTGCAGACTCATATCCATGTGCACTCCTGTAAGTTTAAAAATAACACAGCTGCATAATATATATGTAAATGTTCGGTATAACTTTTTCATCAATAGAAACTTTGAGATGGAACTGTATAATTGAACAGAATGATCCCAGGAAGCACAAACACAAGTCAATTAGCATGCGTGTTTCAAGGATAATTTATCCATGAACTCACTTTTTAATTGCAGTATTCACTTGTAAAGCCAAAATATTATTCCTCTGTTCTGTCTTTCACCCCAAATATTTAAATCCATGACATGTAGTGAAGAGTTATTTAGAATATATATTTAAACCTATTGATATTGTGAGCTGCTCCACCCAGTGGCTTCCTCCAGTACCTTGCGAAATATATCCAATCTGTGCCAAGCAGGTTGGACTTCTACAGTGTGGACGGGTGCACAGTTAGGTATGGGGGTTTAGAAGGGATATGATTTGAAGGACAGACCTACGTGTGACATGCTTATCACAAAAGGTTTGAGTGGGCATTCGAACATAATTTGCTCTCATCACCAAAGTCTCCACTGTTAGTAATAAAGACAAATCTTGTAATATGCCATGCCTATATGTTGCGTTTTCCCATCTCTTTTGCCTGACATGTAATTTGCTGCCACATTTTGATTTTCCAATGGAAATACTGTGGCATTAACTCTTGAGAAGTCTAGTTCCAGAGTGTCAAATACTTTGATATCAAGTCCAAATGGAAATCATGATGCCTTAGTTGAGGTGTGATAGAGCCTGTTTACTAAAACAGATGAGTGAAAGGAAGGAGAAAGCTGTAGCTGCATCACAGGTGACCCTTACATGACCTCACTTCCAACAAAAACATGAAATATTTCAACCCACATCTTGTTTTTCCTTCCCAATTTTCTTGATGCAGAGCTGATGTTTCTGCCTATCTGATTCTGTAGACCTGCAGATTGGAGGGTGGCTAATGTCACACCAATATTCAAAAAAGGAGGTAGAGAAAAAAGCAGAGAATTATAGGTTCACTGGTCTAACATTGGTAGTGGGGAAAATTCTCAAATCCATTGTCAAGGATTTTATAGCAGAGCGTGTAGAAAGCAGTGGCAGGATCAGACAGAGTCAGCATGGATTTATGAAGGGGAAACCACGCTTGACAAATCTGCCATCTTTTATGAAAATGTAACTAGTAGGGTTGACAAGGGGGAGCCAGTTGATGTAGTATATTTGGACTTTTAGACAGTGTTTGACAAAGTCCCACGTAAGAGATTAATGTGCAAGATTAAAGTGTATGGGTTTGGGGGAAGTGTATCGAGATGGATAGGAAACTGGTTGGCAGAGAGGAAACAAAGAGTAGAAATTAATGGGTCCTTTTCAAATTGGCAGACAATAACTAGTGGGGTGCCACAGGGATCGGTGCTGGGACCCCAGTTATTCACAATATATATTAATGATTCGGATGAGGGAAAAAAATGTAACGTGCAAGTTTGCAGATGATACTAAGTTGTGTGGGAGGGTGAACCATGATGAGGATGCAGAGATCTTTCTGCATGTTCTCGACAGGTTGGGTAAGTGGGCAAATCAATGGCAGATGCAGTTTCATTTAGATAAGTGTGAGGTTATTCACTTTAGAAACAAAAACAAGGAGGCAGATTACTACCTGAGTGGCTGTAAATTGGGAGAGGGGAGTGTGCAGCGGGACCTGGGTGTCCTTGTGTACCGATAGCTGAAGGTAAGCGTGCAGATGCAGCAGGTGGTAAAGAAGGCAAATGGTATGTTGGCCTTCATTGCGAGAAGTTTTGAGTACAGGAGCAGGGATGTGTTGTTACAGCTGTACAGGGACTTGGTGAGACCACACCTGGAATATTGTGTACAGTTTGGGTCTCCTTTTCTGAGGAAGGATGCTCTTGCTCTTGAGGGAGTGCAGCGAAGGCTGATTCTGGTGATGGCGCATCTGATATGAGGAGAGATTGACTAGGTTGGGATTGTTTTTGCTAGAGTTCAGATGAATGAGGGGGGATCTCATAGAGACTTATAAAATTCTAACAGGACTGGACAGTGTAGATGCAGGGAGGACGTTCCCGATGGTGGATGTGCCCAGAACAGGGGTCACGGTCTGAGGATTCAGGGTAGACTATTTAGGACGGAGATGAGGAGACATTTCTTCACCCAAAGAGTGGTGAGCCTGTGGAATTCATTGCCACAGGAAGTAGTTGATGCCAAAACATTGATTGTATTCAAGAGGCACCTAGCTATAGCACTTAGAGGGAATGGGGTCAAACATCATGGGGAGAAAGCAGGATTAGGCTATTGAGTTGGACAATCAGCCGTGATTGTGAAGAATGGCAGAGCAGGCTCAAAGGGCTGAAGGGCCGCCTCCTGCTCCTATCTTCGATGTTTCTGTGTTTTGATCAATGATGTTGATTTAAAACTAACAAAACAAGGAAATACAGACAAAAGAAAATCGGTGTATGTGAAATGTCAGGTGTGTAGGATTCCTTTGACTTCTCTCCCTCCCTGGAAATGCCCTGAGAAGAAAAAGGTAATCGCTAACTCGTGTGTGTAGTATGTGTAACTGGAGATTGCTTGGGCATGCGGTTTTAGTTGGCTCCATGTCAGCAGGAGGTCTCACGTGGTTTGTGATTGAATGACTGGGGGCACCCACTCACCCACACTCATGTTCACACTCTGTGGTTTGATATTTAACGTATTATGGTGAATTTTCCAAGTTCTGAATTCATTTTAACGTTGCTTTTTTTTTCTTTTCTCGTTGTGTGTTTTCTTTCTGTGTAACATCCTTTTCTTTTCACCTGTACACCTGCTTGACTTGCTGCCATGCTGCATGCTGTCCAGTCTGTAAGTTGCTGGTTTGTATTTTAATTTGTAAATCAAAGCAATGAGGAAAAACAGTTCAACTTCCTGTATTGCTTTGAGTCGTGATTGAATGATAATATGTCTCCTTTAACTATTAACATGTTCAAATTAGACTAGATCTGAGGACTGACGAACATTGTCTCGCACTTAGCTAAACATTCAGCTTCAGTTTAAGAAGGGCATTGACCCTGTGCTACCACACGTGCTGTTCTCTAGAATTGGAACAGATACAGCCTGTGCGTCTGCCAATGAAACTGTTTCCACTTCATTGCCGCTGAACATTAAAAGTGAACCTGACTTTGTGGCTATTGGGCATTGCAATGCAGTGGTTAATGTCCCTACTTCACCGTAGACTCAGCCAGCAACTGATTTGTTCACCTTGAAGTGGAGCTTTTAGATCAAGCAGAGCCTGAATGACCAGGAAACGATTAAAACCACACTGGTGCCTCTTGGTCAATAATAGGAAGTGCTATATTACTCCCATGAGAGGTTATGTCTACAACAATCACTAGCGTAGTATTGTTTGATCTGGCTTCTCTTTTAATGAAAGCTAACTTACAACTTGACTCGTGAAGGAGGGGAATATAACAATGAGGAACAGTCACAAGGGGCCTACTGGCCGATTGGCAGCAAGCAGTTTTCTTCTCGCTTCAAAATTGTACTTCTGGGCCTACGATTAATATAAAGAACTACAGGGACCTTTTTAATATTAACCATTGAGGTAAAGAGAAGCAGCCAGGTGTCAATCCAGGGGACTCTTCCAGTACTTAACCTGATGTCAGTGATGTTGTTAGAGTGAGGATTTGTTTAATAAACCTGACTCTTTCAGATTTCACCCTTTCCTTTGGAGCATCTGAACCTCTGTCAGAGCAGCCAGCACTTTTTACTGGGGGCAAGTGGCTGAGTATATCAGCAGGGAAAACATCTGTGCTCTGTATTTGTGAATCAATGTACAAAATATAAATCTGTGCATGCTGTTGCTCCTGTTGGCCATAATGAAAGACTTGGGAAATGGGCTTCAAACTCACAACAACCATAATATATTGAAGTTCTGGAACAGGCTGTAGAAGCTCAATGGCCCACTTCTCATCCTTTTTAGTAAAGTTTGGGATCCTTTCATTGACACGGGAAAACTCACTTGAACTGTGTTTGAAAACACCCAGCATAAACCACGCTGGAAGTTTTATTTATTCTTTCACAGGCTGTAGACACCACCTGCCAAGCCAACATTTATTGTCCATCTCTAATTGCCCTGGAAAAGATTCTGTTGAGTCTACTGTATTTTGTCACTCTTCAGCATTTTAGTTTGTTGGGAATAGCACTCCTGTTCATTCTCTCTTTTCTGATAATTTTCACAGTGCTCTGTAGGAGGCTCTTTGCTTTCATAAGATGTGGGTGCCAATAGCTATGCCAGTATTTGTTATCTACCCCTAATTGCCCTGAAGAAGATGATGGTGAACCACCTTCTACACCACATGGTGTAGCTACAGGAAGGGTGTTCCAGAAATGTGACAGGCAGCAGTGAAGGAATAGTGACATAGTTCCACGTCAGGATGGTGTGTGACTTGGAAGGGGAAATTGTATCCACTTACAGGTTGGGCATCATCTGTGGAAAGAGAAATGATTGATTTCTAATGTAACCTGTATGCCTCTAAGTCTTTTTGATCTGTACATCCTTTGCTTGCTGCGATTTGCCTGTACTGCTCGTAAACAAAGCTTTTCACTGTACTTTGGTACACGTGACAATAAAATCAATCAAATTGAACGGTTCCTTCCCACATTTCCCAGCACTTCAGTTTTATTTCAGAATTTCAACATCTGCAATATTTTAGTTTAGTATTCCTAAATTACGATTGCTTTTCCAAAACTCTAACTCATGATTAAACCCATTGAGAAACAACAGGTTGGGACCCAACCTCACACTTAGACTGAAAAATAGTTATCACTGCAGGGTAAATAACAATGCTAATGAGAGCTTCACATGGATTGGACAGAAATATCAAAATTTAATTTAATGAGCATGTAGGTTTTTTTTCAGAAAAGGAAATGGCCAATATCCATCAGACTTAAAAGCTGAAGGACTTGCAGGCACCCTTGGAATGGTAGCAGCCCCAAAGTGTGTAGAACAGTGCAATTGCAAAACATGCAAAAATAAACTTCCATCAATCAATATTCTCTTTGAAAGAGTAGCTATTCAAATTCACTTTAGCTAAATAGATTTGAGTGTCATTAGGGCTGAAATACTTTGTTTTAAAAACTGATGTTATTACACCAGCCTCTAACTTGGAGTTGCTGCCATAACCACTGACCATTAAAAATAACTAAGGTGTAAACGAACCCAACTTGCATTAGCCAACGTACAAGAGCTGTTTATAAAAACTTACATAACCAGTAAAGGCACTGTTTGTCTTGGTCACCAGTTGGCTCTTCTTCATTTGTGGGTCATTATTTTTTCTCCTCATTTTACAAAAACTTATTACCTGATCATCAAACTTGGTCAGTTCTTGTTGCATTAGCCACTGGAGCAGTGAATTTTACAGATGTGAGAGAATTTTCATCAGTCCTCAAACATCCTAACCTTCTTGATCTAACATAATGATTATGTTAACATATTCAGCCATTGGGAGTGTATTCCTTGGGTGTGAATGGCATTTCAATATCTGCTCTGTTTTGACCAGAGTGGATAACTCCTACCTCCAAGACAAGCAAACTGTAATTGGTCTTCAACTTAGGGTCACTGCCAAAAGTCCAATACTTTGCTCCTCATTGTGGGTCTGTCTTTATGTCTCTGATTCCCCATGGTAATCTGTAGTTACAATCCATGATTCCACTTAAATCTAACATTATGTGTTAGGTTTATTTCGTACCCACTATGGCTCAGCAGATTGTACTTTAAAATAAATCAACAATGAAAGGCCAGTGAAGTGGAAAAATTGCTTTAGAATATTTTAGTTTAATCTAAGGTATTCCTGTCACTTTCTGATTTCCAATAGAATGCAGGGACAATTCACAAATCTGAAATTTAAGGATCATTCCCATCTGTCCAAGTTTGTGGTGTCATTGATAGGGCACCTTGTTAGCATGAGGGGCACAAGTACAACAAAAAAAATCTGGACTTAAGAATTCACTGATGACCATGAGCCCATTGTCGATTGTCAAAAAACCCATCTGTTTCGCTAATTTCCTTTAAGGAAGGAAACGGCCATCCTTACGTAGTCTGGCCTGCATGTTACTCCTGACCAAGAGCAATGTGGTTGACTCTTAACTGGCAGTCAGGGATGGGCAATAAATGCTGGCCGGGCCAGGGACACCCACATCCCGCGAATGAATGATTAAAAAATAAACAGCAGCTTCTTTGTACCCTTTCTCAAACCGGACCCCATTCCAGGCAATAAGTTCCTTGTATGCCATGCAGATACTTTGCTGCTTTGGAAAGCGGAGTTTCTGGAGGAGCCAGGATGGTTGTCTGGTTCGTGGCTGCATTGGTGGAATCCATGCCCCAACCCCAGCACTGCCTCCTCACTGTGCCGTGTCCTCCTGACACACAGGGTTCCACAGGTACCTCAAATTCCCACAGAAACAAATGGGTGGAAAGTTCCATAAAAGGAGCAGCCACGCTGGGGCTCATCTCATCCTTGTCCTCAGCATTGAAAGGAACAGAGAGAGTTTATGCTCCTTGCGAGGCCAAGGGGAATCTCTCAGGCATGACGGAGGTTCTGCATGGGTGACTTGCCACCAATTACTAGGGTTTTATTCCAGAGTCATAGTGAGACAGTAGCAGAGTCTTCAAAGAATTTTGACTGCTTAAATTTCCTAGTCAAATCAAAGCAATTCTGCTGAATTGGAACAGCACTCCCAATTGAATCAAGGAAATGAATGTGGAAAACTAACTGGATCTTGAGAAAAGATACGATATGACCTCTAAGCAAAAGAATTGGTTCAATTCTGCAATTAAAAATAATTTTGATGCTATCCCCAACTGGTCAGGAAGACTCCAATTCTGTTACTTTTGCTAGGAAAGCCCTCTAATGGCTGAATATGTTACAATAATTATTAATGGTAAGATAGCAGTTTTGAATGCAAGAGATGTGTAAAAATTTCTCACTCTTGTATTTTCTTCTTCCATTATGATCATAGTAGCTTTTTAAAATTTACGTCACTGGGACAGTGTTTCTGTCTGCTTCAGTATGGTGGAATGTAGTGGGTTTATGGAATTGAGATAATTTAGTGTTTGCAGCTGCACTAATATTCAGTTGATAACTCTTCCGTTTAATTCTCCATTTTCTGAAATGAAGAATGAGAGGTGAACAAAATGCTCCTACTAATGGATTTGGGAATGTGAAGGGAATTATGTAGACAGGGTTTCAGTTTTTTCGGGTATGAGGTCAAAGCGTCATCTGGTGAAATTAATAACAAGATGGCAACCAATTTCGAAAAAAAATTCGAAGATTTGTTATTTCCCTAGATCTGAGGTCATCCTTCACGAGTAACTTTCACAGGAAGGTAATTTGTTATCGGTCAATGTTGATCTCTTTTTCAGTACTAGCTCATTGGGGGTAATTTAACCAGCTATATATTTTTTTCTTTTCTCCCCTCAACATCAAATTTAGAAGCTTTTTCTCACTCCCTTCAAGAACTTTAAATTTCCCAACCAGGTGACATCTTCCCAGTCTTCCCACTCTTGAGGTACTTTCACACTCCCAACTGTAGCATCATTGTGAAGTAGGTTGTCTTCACATTGACACTGTCGTTACAGTGTAACTTCAGCCTGAATCCCTCTGCAGGAGTCTTGCTAATGTAAAGAAGAAAACAGAGTGGGACATTACTGGAAGAAGACACCTTAAGCTCTCTCCACATCAGGACATGTCTGGACACTGGCACGCATGCTCAACTGCATAGAATTACAGGGAAATTACAATGCAGATTTTTTTTTTTTAACCTGTTAGTCTGTTTTGCTGATCATTCTCCACCTGGGCATTAGTTTCTGTCCAATTTCCCCTTTCTTGATATTTTACTGGTTTCTAAACTGTACTTCAAAGTTGACATCATTTCTAGTTTCATCATAACTTTGATAGTGCATTCAACACAATGACCTACTTCCAGCATAGAGCAATTTTAAGTATGCATTATAAATAGGTGAGAATATTTTACTCTAGACCCTGAATCACCATTGAAGATCTAGAGGGATTTGAATATTAGAACTATGTTGATTTGTTTTGTACCTTGAAACCCACTTAGAAGGGAAACGGGTGCCTATTTTTACTGACTTCATTGGACAAAGATATGTCACTTCGTGAAAGTTTACTCTTGCCTTCACTCCATGTTGTTGTGTGAATTTGTGGGATATTAAATTCTAATTTTGTTTTAAACAAGAACGGCCTCAGCAAATCATGAGCATGAGTAACTCTGGGCAAAACTAATATATCATTTGCTCTAGGGGTCCCCAGGGGGTGGGAATTTGTAAATTTGTGTTGTGTGACTATCTCAGTTCTGACCAAATTTGTAATGATTTCTTACTAAGAAAGAAAGAAAATGTAAATATTATGCTGCCAAATACCACCAGGACCTTTGACCTCAAACCTGTACTCTCTGACCTTTTTAGTGAGTTTTATTAATTGCATGAAGGAGGTGACCTTACTCTGCTGTCGCTTTAACTGCTGTTTGAACTGTACCCTTTTCCTCCTCCCCTTGCTCCCGTCTCTTTACTGCTGTCTCCCTTCAGCATTCTATACAGCTGCACCATTGACGTCTGCTGGGATACTCCCTGTGATGCAGTCACTGTGTCCAGAAGGCCAGAGGGATGAATTTGGATTCCTGCAGTATTCCAACTCCACGTAAGTCAAAAGTAAATTGTCCGCTGCAAGATTATCGCAGATCTGCAGCATTAATACCAATGACCTTACTTGAAAAAATCACATTCCCCGTTTTTATTTAAATGGAAACATTTCCTTAGAATTAGAATTTTGTGTCTTAAGCCAATGTTGATTACTAGGAAACTGCTGCAGAGGTGTGTAATAACATCTCCAAACAGGTTAATTAGAAAAATAGGTTAACAAAAAAATGTGGGCCCTCTTGTGGCACAGTGGTAGTGTCCCTGCCATGTGTCAGGGAGGCCTGGATTCAAGTCCTACCTGCTCCAGAAGTGTGTAATAACATCTCTGAACAGGTTGATTAGGAGAATAGGTTAATAAAATAAAAGTGGACCCTCTTGTGGCACAGTGGTAGTGTCCCTGCTCTGGACCAGGGAGGCCCGGATTCAAGTCCCACCTGCTTTAGAGGTAGTAATAACATCCACGAACAGGTTGGTTAGAAAAGTAAGAACACTGATGACTCTACAGACAAAAGATCCACTGTGCAACAGTGCTTGGGGTGGGAAGGGTAGAAAACAGCATTGTGCCAATGTCTAAAGAGATACAGATTGTGTTACTGTAATGTCAATTATTCATATGTAAAATGTATTCAGTGAAGGTATGCAGCAGGTTGAGGTGGATTTACGTTTGTTTAACCCTGCAGCCTGCTGATTTATGTATTGCTCTGTGCTGTGTTGATTTGGAATTCCCAAACCAGTAGGACTGTTGATATAATTTGCATAATATTAATGAAATTTTTGAAAGTCAAGTAAAGGAGGTCGGTATTGCATGCCAGTTTACAGTCATAGAATTCCTATAGTGTACAAACAGCCCGTTCAGCCCATCGAGTCCACACCCACCCTCCGAAGAACATCCCACCCAGCCTCATCCCCCTACCCTATCCCTGTAACCCTGCATTTCCCACAGTTAACACACCTAGCCTGCACATCCCTGGACACTATATGGGCAATTTAGTCAGGCCAGTCCACCAAACCTGCACATCTTAAGCTGTGGGAGGAAACCGGAGCACTCGGAGGAAACCCGCACAGACATGGGGAGAATGTGCAAACTGCACACAGTCAGTCATCCCAGGCTGGACTCGTAGCCGGATCCCTAGTGCTGAGAGGCAGCAGCGCTAACCACTGAGCCACCGCGCTGCCCAGTTTCGGGCACCACCCAGAGGAACTGTGAGTGTACTTTAATTAACAGTTGAAGATTTTTATTTTGGATTCATGATTTCGTCAGGGCTTCTTGTCCCTATCAAGTACAATGTATAATCCGATTATGAGGTTTTGTTTGGAGTATGTAGGGTTAAAATGGTTTTGTTTTTGTGACGATCAATTCTGTGCTGCTGAGCTGTATTCCATTCTCTTAATCATTCCACGTAAGCCATTTTGTTTTTCTCCTGTATTCTCTGCCTAAGGTGGCACTCTCTGCCATTACATTCATCCTGTGACATAACATCATGATGCTTTTGCAAATGCTCAAGGATGAGAATTAATGTTTGTTCTATGGTGCAGGGTGGGGGTGGAGCGGGGGGAAAGCGACCTTCCTTTACTAAAGTTTGTCAGGCTGCATTGAGATGTCTATCTGGACTGAATCACAATAGTGACTTGAGGGCACCTCTAAGTTGATGGTTTAGTGAAAATTGATTGTGTTAAAATCCACTTTGTAATGTGGAGTCCACGAGGCTGGTATTTGTCTCGCTGCTCTCTCATTTTCTGGTGAGGACGGAGGTGACATTGAGGCAAAGCCCATCATCCCGCCATGCCAGGTAAGGGAATGGTACCTCATCCATTATTTTTTATTTGGGACAAGTCAGTGTTGCTGTCCAGGGCAGTATACCTAATTTCCCACAGGAAGGTGGTGGTGAGCTGCTATCTTAACTGCAACAGAAGGGTTCACAAACCCATTTCAGAGGGCAGTTAAGAATCGACCACATTTCATACAGGCTACTTGAGGGAAGAAAGACAGATTGCCTTCCTTATAAAATGTTACTGAGCCAGATGGCTTTTTAACGACAATCTGATAGTTTCATGGACATCAGTGCTGATGCTAACTTTTTAATTTCAGAATGACTTAATTAAGATGAATTTAAGTATTCCAGCTGCTGTAGAGAGCTCGGCTGTCTGGATCATTAGTTGTCTGGATTTCCTGTAATACAGCCGCTGTGCTTCCATATTGAACCTTGAGATCTGAACTGGCATCCGGTGTGTTTCATCAGGCAGGAGCAGGGGTTGTCTCTGACCATTATCCACCTGATAAACAGACCTTCTTTACATTTGTTATCCGTGTCCATGGGGTATGTTCTGCTGCATTTAACAAATCAATGGAAGTGACTTTTTCAGCACCCTTTGCAAATTCAACACCATGGTTATGTCAAATGTGAAACTAGCAGAGAGAATGCTGGAGAAACTCAGCAGGCCTGGCAGTATCTGTGGAGAGAGATACAGTTACATTTACAGTCCAATATCACTCTTGTTCGAGACTTGACCATTTTCTCTGTTTTTCTCTCCTCAGATACTGCCATACCTGATGAGTTTCTTCAGCAGTCTGAGTTTTCTTCGGGTTTGCAGCATCCATAATATTTTATTTTTATTAGTATGTCAAATGACCAGTTTGGCCAACTCTGATCTGTTAAATAACATGATACTTAAATATTTACCATACGTTGATGTCTTGACTAACACAAGATATTTTCTATTATAGAAATAGGACTGTAGAATGAAGATTAAAGTGATGACAATTCTGTATAAAATATTGGAGAGATCACTTGAAGTTTCCGTTGTGATATAATGTCAGATGCAATGCACAAAGATGTAGGAAGTAACAACATGATGATATTATGTGTCAAGTTAATGAACTGTGGATAGCATGGGTGGATGTTAATTTCAGTTCTCTGCAAAAAGAACTGAAAAGAGGTAGGCTTGGAATACGATCCCAATGAAATCCTTTCCAATACAACACAGGGAATAAATCTGGAGAAAATCTTTTGAGAGTCAAGAGAAACGAATGTAGGGAACTAGCTGTAGGTTTGGGAGTTCTTCTCGTGTTGAGCAGCAACCTGATATTTGGTGTCAGGTTTCAGAATTCCGATTTTCCCGGAGGATTGGAGGTGAATAGGGTTGAAACATGCATTCTGCCCTCGACTTGTCTTCTGTCTCCTGGAAGTTTTCTATTATCGTTCACTCCCCTTAAACTTTTTTTCCCATGTTTTGTGAAGTATTTTTTGTCAAGCTTTTGGTAAGCTTGCTTTTCAAATCATATATACTTTTTAACATGTAATATGTAATCTCTGCTCTGGTACTTTGTTTCACCTGTTGTGTGAGAAAATCAGATTTAACTTCATTCAGTAGATTTGTTTGTGTTCATAACCTTCTCTTTAGTTGCCCCAAATGCATCCATTCAATCAGTATGATGTTGAAAATGCCTGAAAATTTAAGACATGGAACCTTACCTCTCTGTGTAAACAACTCTCGACTTAGCATTTGCAATGTGAAGCATTCATCATCACTTAGTTTTGGGAGCATAGAAGCAGCATTTGGCCATTCACCCCCTTGAGTTGGTTCAGGATTGATCAGCATCCTAGATCCATTTATTGTAGGATGATGGTTATGTCCTATTATGCTAATAAATAGGATATGCCATTAGTGATACCTGCTGATAGTGCATACAGAGCTGGGACCTGTACACTAGGGTTCTCAGAATGCTGTTTCATACATACCTTGTAAATATTATTCATATAGTTTAATGAAGGGACTTGATTGTAAGGATCCACTCTGGAGCCTGAACTTACAACACCTACTTGCCATTGTTGTGTGTTGTAGTTGACGCAATGAATACATCATACTACCCTATCGTTTCTGACTAGTAAAGCAACTTCTCCATGTCTTTTAAGATAAGTTGCCACCCTTAGAGCTCGTTACATAGGAACACAGAAAATAGGTACAGCAGTAGGCCATTCAATATGATCATGGATGATCATGCAATCTCAGTATCCCATTCCTGCCCTCTCCCCATACCCCTTGATCCCTTTAGCTGCAAGGGCCACGTCCAGCTTCCTCTTGCGTATATCTAATGAACTGGCCCCAGCAGCTTCGTGTGGGAGGGAATCCGACAGCTTAACAACTCTCTGAATGAAGAAATTCTTCCTCATCTCAGTCCTGAATGGGTTACCCTTATTCTTACATTATGGCCCCCTAGTTCTGGACTTCCCCAACATCGCGAACATTCTTCCCACATCCATCCTGTCCAGTCCCATCAGGATTTTGTATGTTTCTATGAGATCGCCCCCCAATTCTTCTAAATTCCAGTGAGTACAAGTCCAGTCGATCCAGTCTTCCTTCATACATCAGTCCTGCCATCCCACTATCTGATTTTTCAGTTCTCCTCTTTCTGCTGCTAAGTATTCATGTGCAAGGTTAGCTCTGCTGGAGAGGAAAGGCAAATGTTTAAGGTGTAAAAATAAAAGCCAAAGATTCAGCTCACAACGTTCATTTCAGTAACACCCCTGGCATTGCCAGCAGTGTTTCCTGAATTATTCAAATTTTTAACAAAAGCTTTTGAACAATCAATTCAGACAGACAGGATATCAAAAGGCATTAGCCTTTTCATTTTTATTTCTGCTCATAGTAATTTTCTCAGGTTTAATAACTCAGACCGGTCCCGTGGTTGAACATTTTCTCCCTATCACCTGGAATGATCACAGGTCATAACTCACAGGCGCAAGTCGCAGGTTACAAAAATAGGTAAAGCGGGATACAGAAAGTTTACAGAGAGATATTGATAGCTTAATTAAGTGGGGAAAAAGTTGGCAAATGGACTACGTTCTGGAAAAATCTGAAGAATTTCATTTTCTGAAGAAGGGTCTAGGCCCGAAACGTCAGCCTTCCTGCTCCTCTGATGCTGCTTGGCCTGCTGTGTTCATCCAGCTCTACACCTTGTTATCTCAGATTCTCCAGCATCTGCAGTTCCTACTATCTCTG